ATTGTTTATTCTATATTATCATAGCTTATTATAACTACCTTAAGCATAACTCTTGAAGAATTACAAATTAGTGAGCATTCATAAAGTCCTTCAGAAATTATAAATAATTTTCCAGTGATCTCCAATATATACAAATTATTTGCAATACTTTTTAAAGTAATATTTAAAGAAACAAAGATTATTAATTAATTTTACCAACAAATAATCTGCTGAATGAACGTCATTTAAATATCAGCTTAAAGATTCAATAACACGTGTTGAATGGCATCAATTATTGTTTTAATAAATAATATAAAACCTCGAGCTCATCTGTGTTTCCGCTATTATATTTTGAACTCTAAATGCCTTTAAAATATTTTGCCGAAAACCAAGACTCAACCTATAGCACATAGACCCAGCCTATTGCACCTAGATCCAGCCTATAGCGCAGACCCAACCTATAGCACCTAGATCCAGCCTATAGCACAGACCCAACCTATAGCACCTAGATCCAGCCTATAGCACAGACCCAACCTATAGCACCTAGATCCAGCCCCATAGCACAGACCCAACCTTATAGCACCTAGACAGCCTATAGCCATTGCCCAAACTATAGCACCTATTTCCAGCCTATAGCACATTACCCACCTATTAGCACCTAGAATCCAGCCTATAGCACTCAGACCAAACCTATAGCACCTAGATCCAGCCCATAGCACAGACCCAACCTATAGCACCTAGACCCAGCTTATGGAACACATCCAGCTATAGCACATAGACCCAGCCAATAGCACCTAGACCCAGTCTACAGCACATAGACAAAGCCTATAGCACCTTGACCAAGCCAATAGCACCTAGACCCAGCCAATAGCACCTAGACCCAGCCAATAGCACCTAGACCCAGCCAATAGCACCTAGACCCAGCCAATAGCACCAACACCCAGCATATAGCCCCTAGACCCAGCCTAGAGCACCAACACCCTTACTATAACACCTAGACCCAGCCTATAGCATCTAGACCCAGCCTATAGCCCCTAGACCCAGTCTAAAGCAACAACACCCAGCCTATAGCCCTTAGACCCAGCCCATAGCACGAAAACTCAGCCTACAGCACCTAGACCCAGTCTATAGCATCTAGACCCAGCCTATAACACATAGACCCGCCTATTGCCCTAGACCTAGCCAATAGCACCATCACCCAGCCTATAGCCCCTAGACCCAGCCTATAGCACCAACACCCAGCCTATAGCATCTAGACCCAGCCTATAACACATAGACCCAACCTAAAGCACCTAGACCCAGCCTATAGCATCTAGAACCAGCTTATTGCCCCAAGACCCAGACTATATCACCAACACCCAGTCTATAGTCCCTAGACCCGGCCTATAGCACCTACACCCAGTCTATAGAACCTAGACCCAGCCAATAGCACCATCACCCAGCCTATAGCACCAACCACCCAGGCGTATTGCACCACACCCAGCCTTAAACCTTAGACGGGCCGTATAGCACCTAGACAAGCCTATTATATTATAAGACCCAGTCTAAGGCACTAGGGCCCCGCATACAGCGCCTAGTTCTTAGCTTAATCACACTAGATCGCCTATAGAAAAAAAAAAATTAAAAAACTCTAGGTCCAAACCCATGGCACCTAGGACCCATCCTATAGCACCAAACCCAGCCCATAGCACCTAGATCCAGCTAACAGCACCAAAACCCAGCGTATAACACCAGGACCCAGCCTACAGCACCCAATCCCAGCTTATAGCACCTAGACACAGCCTATAGCTCCCAGACCCAGCTTATAGCTCCTAGACCAAGATCATAACACCTAGACCCATAATATAACACCAAAACCCAACTTATAGCACTTAGACCCAGCTTATAGCACCAAGACTCGGCCAACAGTACCAAGACCCAGCCCAGGAGGCTTGGTCACAGACCGGGCCGCGGGGGGCGTTGACCCCCGGAACTCTCTCCAGGTAAACTCCAGGTAATAGCAAATAGACCCAACATATAGCGCCAAAATCCAACCTATAGCACCTAAACTATCCTACAGCATCTTGACCTAACCCACTGCATCTAGACCCAGTCAATAGCACTTAGATCCATCTTACAACACTGAGAACCAACACACAACATCTAACCCAATCCACAGCCCCGAAACCCAATGCATAGCACCTAGGTTTAATACTCAGCACCTCAGTCCATCTCACAGACAATTCACCCAACCCTCAGACCCGAGACCTAAATTCTCAAAAATAAAACTAAGACGCCATCACAGGATCTAAACCTATTCTAGAGTATCTAGACTAATCTCGTTGTCTTTAGGAAAATCTCACAATTATTAGACACCATGAGAACCTAGAAGTATCCCACATAAACTAGACCTACAATATAGAACCTAGCCCTATCTAACCGAACCTTGTCCAACACCATGGAATGCTGTCCTATACAACATTCTTTACACCTAGATCAAAACTACCCTACCATCACCCACACCACAACTACCCTACCATCACCCACACCACAACTACCCTACCATCACCACACCACAACTACCCTACCATCACCAACACCACAACTACCCTACCTCACCACACACACAACTACCCTACCATCACCACAACCCAAACTACCCTACCCAAATCACCCACCACCACAACTACCCTACCATCACCACACCACAACTACCCTACCATCACCACACCACAACTACCCATAACCCACTACACCACACCACAACTACCCTACCATCAACACCACAACCACCAACCCAAAACTACCCTACCATCACCACACCACAACTACCCTACCATCACCACACCAACACCACATCACCCACACAACTCACACCACACCGCAACTACCCTACCATCACCCACACCACAACTACCCCTACCATCACCACACCACAACTACCCTACCATCACCACACCACAACTACCCTACCATCACCACACAACCCACATACCACAACTACCCTACCATCACCACACCACAACTACCCTACCATCACCCACACCACAACTACCCTACCATCACACACCACAACTACCCTACCATCACCACACCACAACTACCCTACCATCACCACACCACAACTACCCTACCATCACCACACCACAACTACCCTACCATCACCACACCACAACTACCCTACCATCACCACACCACAACTACCCTACCATCACCACACACAACTACCTACCATCACCACACCGCAAACTACCCTACCATCACCACACCACAACTACCCTACCATCACCACACCACAACTACCCTACCATCACCACACCACAACTACCCTACCATCACCCACAACCCTATCAACACCCTACCTACCATCCACCACACACCATCCACCCAACTACCACCATCACCACACCACACTACCCTACCATCACCACACCACAACTACCCTACCATCACCCACACCAACTACCCTACCATCACCACACCACAACTACCCTACCATCACCCACACCACAACTACCCTACCATCACCACACCACAACTACCCTACCATCACCCACACCACAACTACCCTACCATCACCACACCACAACTACCCTACCATCACCACACCACAACTACCCTACCATCACCCACACCACAACTACCCTACCATCACCCACACCACAACTACCCTACCATCACCACACCACAACTACCCTACCATCACCCACACCCAACTACCTACCATCACCACACCACAACTACCCTACCATCACCACACCACAACTACCCTACCATCACCACACCACAACTACCTACATCACCACACCACAACTACCCTACCATCACCCACACAACTACCTACCATCACCACACCACAACTACCCTACCATCACCACACACAACTACCCTACCATCACCCACACACAACTACCCTACCATCTACCACACCACAACTACCCTACCATCACACACCACAACTACCCTACATCACCACACCAACTACCCTACCATCACCCATCACCACAACTACCCTACCAACACCCACACCACAACTACCCTACCATCACCACACCACAACTCCCTACCATCACCACACCACAACTACCCTACCATCACCCAACACCACAACTACTCCTACCATCACCCACACCACAAGCTACCCTACCATCACCCACACCACAGCTACCCCACCATCACCCACACACAACTCTCCCTACCATCACCCACACCACAACTACCTTACCATCACCCACACCACAAGTACCCTACCATCACCCACACACATATACCTACAATCCCCAACAAGTACACTACAATCACCCACACCACAGTACCTACAATCACCCACACCACAAGTACTCCTACCAATCACCCACACCACAATACCTACCATCACCCACACACAAGTACTACAATCACCCACACAATATCTACAATCACCACAACAAGTCCTACAATCACCACACACACAATCTACAATCACCCACACCACAAGTATTCTACAATCACCCACACCACAAGTCCACATCACCCACACCACAAGTATCTACAATCACCACACCACAAGTACCATAACACAATACACAATCACCACAAATTCTCTACAATCACCCACACCACATGTACACTGCAGTCACCCACACCACAAGTATTCTACAATCACCCACACCACAAGTACTCTACAATCACCCACACCACAAGTACTCTACAATCACCCACACCACAAGTACTCTACAATCACCCACACCACAAGTACTCTACAATCACCCACACTAGTCTACAATCACCCACACCACAAGTACTCTACAATCACCCACACCACAAGTACTCTACAATCACCCACACCACAAGTACTCTACAATCACCCACACCACAAGTACTCTACAATCACCCACACCACAAGTACTATACAACCACCCACAGGTACTCTACAATCACCCACACCACAAGTACTATACAATCACCCACACAAGTACTCTACAATCACTCACACCACAAGTACACTACACTCACCAACACTCACACCACAATCATCCAGTTGATTGTTCTGAACCTCGCAGGAGACAAGTTTCCAGAAGCTGTGGAGTCAACTACTGGAAGGAGCATGACTGAAGGAAGCGGCAGTTCGGGTCACTCCCACACCACAACAGTACCTACCATTTCTTTTACCGACCCTAAGAGCGCTAAAGCTGCCTCAAAGGTCAGTTAAGACTTTTATAGAATGCAGCATAAACTAAGAGGGGCACCTAATTAACCCTGTCTTCTAATCATATCCTGATTTTTTCCCTATAATTTTTCTCCATAATTACTATCCCATTTACTTTGTTTCGTAAGGTGAAGTCTAAAATCTTTCCTTAATTGATGGTATAACTTAACAAATCTTTGAGGACAATTTTGTTGTAGAGGTCTGAGCTCTACAACACAACTGTCAACAATGCGTTTGTCAACAATGCATTTAATTACTTATAATATCGATGACCGTTATTAATGAGAGAACCCTGTACTCTCACAGTTTATATTCCCACCATGCTCTATTATTATTTTCTTAGTCAAAGACACAATAGCACGGGCGGGGATTGAACTCGCGGCGAGCGAGTCGTAAAACTCCAGGCCAACTTTACCTGACAGTGTAGACTCGGTTGTAAATCCCCTGACAGTGTCGAGTTGGCAGCAGTGTTCCCGGGTAGGTGAGTTTCAGTGGGGAGAAATAAATGGGATTAAGTCAGGAGTGTCTGAGAGAATTAGAGCTAAGGAAGGGTAACAATAATGTTGAAGGATTAGTTATGGAAGGAGAAGATGGAATATAAATATACAGATTCAAAGATTATGTGGATAAAATAAGGGTCGGATGTGAAAAGTGGGTCATAATAAGTGTGTATACACCTGGAGAGAAGAGTAGTGTAGAGAAGAGAGAGAGAGAGAGAGATTTGTGGGGATGTTAAGCGAGTGTGTAGGTACTTTCGAACCAAGTGAGAGAGAAATTGAGGTAGGGAAACTAAATGCTAAAGTATGAGAAACATTTAGAGAGGGTGTGGTTGGTAAGTTTGGGGTGCCAGGTGTAAATGATAATTTTAAGAAAAAGAGGATAAATAGATATACAAGATATGTTGTAGGGTGTAATGACAGTAGTTTGTTGGACTACGTATTGGTAGATAAAAGACTATTGAGTAGACTTCAGAATGTACATGTTTATAGATGGCCCACAAATATATCAGATTACTTTTTAGTTGCAGCTACAGTGAGAGTAAAAGGTAGATGAGATACAAGGAAAATAGAAACGGCAAGTAAGAGAGAGGTGAAGGTTTATAAACTAAAGGAGGAGGCAGTTAGGGTAAGATATAAACAACTATTGGAGGATAGATGGGCTAGTGAGAGTATAGGAAATGGGGTCGAAGATGTATGGGGTAGGTTTAAGAATGTAGTGTTAGAGTGCTCAGCAGAAGTTTGTGGTTACAGGAAAGTGGGTGCAGGAGGGAAGAAGAGCGATTGGGGGAATGATAGAGAGTAGTTAGGGAGAAAAGATTAGCATATGAAAGGTTTTCACAAAGTATTAGTGATGCAAGGAGGGAGGAGTATATGGAGACAAAGAGAGATTAAGAGAGTGGTGAAGCAATGTAAAAAGAGAGCAAATAAGAGAGTGGGTGAGATTTTATCAACAAATTTTGTTGAAGATAAGAAAAAGTTTTGGAGTGAGATTAATATGTTGAGGAAGCCTAGGGAACAAGTAGATTTGATAGTTAAAAATAGGAGAGGACAGTTACTAAATGGAGAGTTGGAGGTATCGGAAAGATGGAGAGAATATTTTGAGGAATTGTTAAATGTTGATGAAAACAAAGAAGCTGTGATTTCGTGTATAGGGCAAGAAGGAATAACATCTTGTAGGAGTGAGGAAGAGCCAGTTGTGAGTGTGGGGGAAGTTCGTGAGGCAGTGAGTAGAATGAAAAGGAGTAAGACAGCTAAGATTGTTGGGATAAAGATAGAAATGTTAAAAGCAAGTGTGGATATAGTTTTGAAGTGTTTGTTTGGAATAGGAGGTAGGTTACCGAAAGCAGTGAAGAGTTTTTACGAGGATAGTGAGGTTCAGGTTAGAGTATGTAGGAAAGAGGGAGATTATTTCCCAGTGAAAGTAGGCTTTACACAAGGACGTGTGATGTCACCATGGTTGTTCATTATATTTATAGATGGGGTTGTAAGAGAAGTGAATGCGTGGGTGTTGGCAAGAATTGTGGGGTTAAAAGATAAATAATCTAAAACAAAGTGGGAGTTGTCACAGTTGCTCTTTGCTGATGACACTGTGCTTTTGGGAGATTCTGAAGAGAAGTTGCAGAGGTTGGTGGATGAGTTTGGTAGGGTATGTAAAAGAAGAAAATTAAAAGTGTATATAGGAAAGAGTATGGCGATGAGGATAACAAAAAAATTAGGTGACGAAAGATTTTATAACAGGATGGAGGGAGAGAGTATGGAGGAGGTGAATGTATTCAGATATTTAGGAGTGGAGATGTCTGCAGATGGGTCTATGAAGGATGAGGCGAAACATAGAACTGGTGAGGGAAAAAAGGTAAGTGGCGCACTTAGGAGTCCGCCGAGACGAAGAACTTTGTCCGTGGAAGCAACGAGGGGAATGTATAGGAGTGTAGTTATTTCAACGCTCTAATATGGGTGTGAAACATGAGTGGTGAATGTTGCAACAAGGAGAAGGCTGGAGGCAGTGGAGATGTCATGTCTGAGGGCAATGTGTGGTGTGAATATAGTGCAGAGAATTCATTGTTTGGAAATCAGGAGGAGGTGTGGGATTACCAAAATTATTATCCAGAGGGCTGAGGAGGGGTTGTTGAGGTGTTTCGGACATGTAGAGAGGAAGGAACAAAATAGAATGACTTCGAGAGTGTATAAATCTATAGTGGAGGGCAGGCGGGGTAGGGGTTCAGCATAGGAAAGGTTGGAGGTAGGGGGTAAAGGAGGTTCTGTGTGCGAGGGGCTTGGACTTCCAGCAAGCATGTGTGAACGTTTTAGGTAGGAGCGAATGTAGACAAATGGTTTTTAGGACTTGACGTGCTGTTGGAGTGTGAGCAAGGTAACATTTATGAAGAGAGTTAGGGAAACCGGCAGGCCGGACTTGAGTCCTGGAGATGGGAAGTACAGTGCCTGCACTCTGAAGGAGGGGTATTAATGTTGCAAGTTTATAACTGTAGTGTAAGCGCGCGTCTGGCAAGACAATGATGGAGTGAATAATGAGAGTTTTTCTTTTTCGGGCCACCCTGCCTTGGTGGGAGAAGGCCGATGTGTTAATAATTTAAATTAATGAGAAATACAAGAGAACCTTTTCTACCTCAGATAGGGAAAGATTAGTGTGTAGGAGTATCAGTAATGTGGATGTGAATTTTATAAATACGATAACAGGAGAATGTTAATTTGTTGTGTAGTGTTTGTTGTACTGATGCTGATAGGCAGCAGTTAGAGATAACGTATCTGGATAAGAAGAATGACAATCCTACAAAGTCACAGATCCAAGTACAATTATTATTAAAAACACAAAAAAATATATAGAATTATTAATGAAGGGTAACCTAAGAATGTCAAAAGTTTTTATTTTACCGAGTGTGTACCTGTGTTTTGTTCGCCTTTTTGCCAGTTTCTGAACAAAATTTGTTAAAGAATGTCTCACTACGCATGCCCTACACATTGATAAGGTAATAAATAAAGAACTATATCAAGCCAAAGATGTAACTTGTAGTTCTTACCTTTTTTATCAACTTAAGGCTGCCAGTCTTCCGTGCTTACCGCTTTTATCGCTTACCAGTAAGTCTACCTCTGTACTTGACTTACCTTTGGGTTTAATACGGTTTTTTTATTGTTTACCTCTAAGACACTCGTATTTTAAGCTTTCTTCTGAGACAACCATTTGTCAATCATTACCAATGAAGGTGTTAAGACAACCTCTTTCATGGCTATGACTTAATACCACCTTTCTCATGGATATGACTTAAGACCACCTCTCTCATGGCTATGACTTAAGACCACCTCTCTCATGGCTATGACTTAAGACCACCTCTCTCATGGATATGACTTAAGACTACCTCTCTCATGGATATGACTTAAGACTACCTCTCTCATGGCTATGACTTAAGACCACCTTTCTCATGGCTATGACTTAAGACCACCTCTTTCTTCACAATATTGTAATAAATGCAGTACTATTAACCAGATACGTCTAATATTTGTTTGTTCACAAGTGTGTTGCTAGTACGATTAAAAATCTGTAAAACGATATTGTGTTTAACTGACCATGTTCTATTTTACAATGCATAAAATTGCAAAAATTGCACATTTTTTTTACATTCTTAGTATTAACGAATAAAAATTGTAGTCTTGTATTTAACAATGACTAATGATACCTTCTTCTAATGACTTACCACTGTCTCTTTTATCAACTTAATTTTACCTTCTTTCATAGTTACCTCTTCATCATATTAAGACTAATAATTTTTATGTATACGTCTATTCAGAATCTTAAGAATATTACGAATTAAAGATATGAAAACGATTGAAAAAATTGGGGCAGAGATCAGCGAGATTTATGCCTGACTAAGTCAATCAACCATGCAAGAAATAAAGGAAAGTGAAGATAATTATATGAAAGAGATATATAGAGAGAAAAATATAGTTTAGGTTAAGGAGAATTCGATAGCAATGGCTATACCAGCCTTGTTACTGTGGGCACTCGACCAGGATATATCACAGCAGGCAGACGACTGCATCCCTAATACTGAATTTTGACCCCAGCTACCCATGGCAGTTCAGCTGTATTCTCTTCTTTAAATATGGTAATACACGTTCAAAACGTATTATTCAATCATTCTTCATAACGATATATATACATCTACTCCCGCACATTGTTTTGATGGTATGAGAGCGCTGACAAATCGAGAATGAATCTGGCGAGTAGCATATGAAGAGGCAAGCAAGGAACCAAGGCTTGACCCTTGCAATGATATATAATTAAATACACACCACACCACACACAAACACATAGGCACACGTGCAAACATACTCATACAAACACACACACACACACACACACTAACGCATGCACCCAAACCACACTTAAACACCTATAAATCCCCAGTAAACCACTAGCTTATAACTTATCTCTTGATGACCTTTTCAGCCCGACAAGACAACGAGGAAGGTGCTCTCAAGAACCTAGAGAAATGCATCCCTCACCTTCCTTCAGCTCCACCTGACTTGCTCGATGAGTATAAAGCCCTCAGGAAGCAGCTCTGTAAAGAAGAAACGTCTTCCTAGCCGCAGGGTGGAGGCTTCCATAAAAATAATGGTATAAAGCACCAACACATCCTAGATATGTCTTAGACTTTCAGAACATTGAGATTTATAAAGATGTGTTGATCGTTTAAAAGTAAGTAAAGTCCTTTTACAACAACACTGCAGGGGATTCTTCACCTATTTCCTCAGATAACTGAAATGTTTGTTAAATTAGCTGAATCAAAAAGTTTCTGCAGAACTTTCCTATCCTCAGTCAAGGGCTTAAAATTTCCTGCACTGAAGGGTATAAGATAGTCACGAGTCAGTACAATTAAAAACTTGAAATTGAGTTTGGTGCTAACAAGCCAGCAATTTTTGATGGTGGCCAGACTGCTGTCCAGGAGGTTTTCTAGACCAGTTGACATGTTCACCTGTAATGTGGCCTCTGCCGGTGAAGCCTGAATTCAGCTGTGAGAATGACCAGATGTAAACAATGAGCACGTCTAAAATTTAGACAATCAAGTGAACACTGTTTCTCCACACGGTAGCTTTAAGAAATAAACCCGCTCCACGTCAGTCAGACTATGCACAACTACACGTAGGCTGATCAAGGCCAAATCAAATCGAAAAAGAGTTTGAGAATTTATGTAGTGCCCCCAGAGAGGTATTACACCAAAATACAAATTGATCCGAAATTGGCCATTACAGTTCCTGATACTCAGCGAGGCTCTTTTTCCGAAGATACACAATTGTTGAAGGGTTTCTATCGTTCAAAATAAGGTATTCAAAGTGATTACACAAAAGCGAATTTCAAGTGGTATCCCTCTTCAGGGTATACGTCAGCAGCGTCAGCAGTGTAAACAGCGTCAGCAGTGTGAACAGCGGTAAAATGATGAGTCTGAACATATAATTTAGTATTAGGAATATTGTCACGCATTGAAGTCGAATTTTCATTTATGTCGAACCAGGATATGAAAAAAAAAGAAATAAAATGAAGCATATGTAGAAACGGTGATTGATGACTCATAATTTTCTGGGAAGGAAATACTTGGGAAGATTGGGAAATCATCCAGAGATATAAAATGATTAGGCGAAGTTTAAACAAAATGTGTTTGGAAATAGACAGGGCAACTAATTAAATTCAGGGAAGTCAGGAAGCAGCTGTAAAGCACAGGATAAATGAAGAAAGTAAATGCAAGAGATCACAAGGCAAAAATAATGTGTGAAAGCGATGATTCTTTCTGGTATTCGTACCGTATGTACAGTAGAAAACGAGGTGGCCAAGAACAACGGACAGGTGAATAGAACACCATGGCAAATTTCAGCAGCATGACCGAATTATAAACAAATATTGTTAGTAAAACGTTGTCTCAGTAAATATTTTGCTCTGCATGTGTGTCAATTTCGTTCATTCTGTCGGCTATGTGCTCTCTCACTCCGTCAACAGCACAGCACAAGAAATGCCATAAGAGCCTTAAAAGGATGAAAAATTAGACGCTCAGTAGAGGCTAAATCTCACGAGAATATGAGATTGGTGGAACATGGTTTTATAGTTAACACATTAACACAACGAATTTCTCATTCCAGCCAAAAAACTGAGCACAGACTTGCATACGAAAGAAGCTGCTAGCAACAAGTGGAGTCATTAACTGGTGTATAATACCAGATTCTGCATTTAAAAGTGTAAATGCAGTACTGCACTTGAGGAACAGGTGAAAGTTCATTCACAGAGACCCCTGGCCAACCAGACAATATTATTAGGAGAAAGTAATTGTCAAATGTTATTTTTTTGAGTGTTGCTTTGAGAGTGTCAGTCAGCACGAAAGGGTTGAATGATTATCTAGATTTAGAAAGACATTTAAGTCTAAGTTGACAACATGTTACTTCTGAAAACTTATGAAAAGATTCTCAGAGTAAGACTATGTTTTAAAGGACAAATTTCCCAGCACGTGAATTTAAATGAGCTTGGTGACTGAAATTGATGTAATATCAGGGAACTCTGGAGTAGCAGGCGCTCTAAGCTGGCCAGCATCAATTGACATTATGTTATGACAGAGGCAAGACCTATCCATGTTATACCACAAGAAAAAGTATTCACATGTCAGCAGTTCTCAACTCTGTTCATGGCTACAACGTAATATCCATGAAGGAGTTTCTGAGTACGAGAGCTTTAGCCTGGTAACTAAAGCTCTTGCTTCACACGGAAAGTGTCTGGGTTCGATTCCCGGGAGGTAGAAACATTGGGCGTGTTTCTTTACACCGGGTTTTCTATGTTCATCCATCAGGAAAATGGGTACCTGGGTGTTAGTCGACTGGTGTGAGTCGCATCCTAGGACAAAAGTGACCTTATTTGCCCGAAATGCTCAGCATAACAAGTAGTATGTCAGTGATGTCAGCTAGGCATGTATACCTTGTACATGTACTTGTAGTAAATAAAGATATTATCACTATTATTATATTAAACTTATATCTGGTCAGAGACCTGGCCTCAGTTAACAGACGGTGGATCGAGCCTCAAACATTCCTTGTGGTGAAGTTAAATGTTATTTTAATAAATAACATGATAGAAATCATTAAAATGAAGTATACTAATTAAACAGGTTCTTTGCTAATTAAGTATAATACTCAAAATTAAAAAAAAAAAAAATCTCTAATGGCAAAGAACGAAAAACATTGAAAAGATTCAGCACATGTAAAAAAAAAAGTACCAAAAATCAGCTTTCATTTTTTTTTTTTTTGTAATTTGACTTTAATATGTATTTGTACATATGTGATATGCAAAACAGCCACTGTGAAAGAATAGAGAAATTCCAAGCGCTTTCGTGACTCCTCACATTATCAAGGAACAATAAGTTCCTTGATAATGTGAGTAGTCACGAAAGCGCTTGGAATTTCTCTATTCTTTCACAGTGGTTGTTTTGCATATTCTGAAATCACCTGTTTACTGTGATCTTATTGCATATATGTGATATGTATTAGTTTTTGCAGTTTTAAGAGAAAGTAATGCCTGGTGTCGCTTCAAGCAAATATATATTCTTAATTAAAAAATCAATATTCAAACCTGAGAAATTATCAGTGAAGTAATTTATGAAGAGGAAGAAATATCTACAAAATACGAAATGAAATGTATTCAATTTTAGGCTTTTTTTTTTTGTGGGGGAAGGAGGGGAATATTTTTTGTACTTTTTTGATAGACATCAACGACCACAAGGGAAGGATTTAATTTAAGGAATCAGCTAAAAATTATAGGCATCAACGACCATAAGGGAAGGATTTACTTTAAGGAATCAGCTAAAAATTATAGGCATCAACGACCACAAGGGAAGGATTTACTTTAAGGAATCAGCTAAAAATTATAGGCATCAACGACCACAAGGGAAGGATTTACTTTAAGGAATCAGCTAAAAATTATAGGCATCAACGACCACAAGGGAAGGATTTACTTTAAGGAATCAGCTAAAAATTATCATGGCAATGGAAAAGATTCAAAAAATGTACGAGAAGATAACTGGATCCAAAATTGACAAATATTAGTTTGTTGCTTGATACCATCCCATGTTGTTCTAGGAGACAGTTAATGAAAAAGTTAAGTGTAGTTTTAAAAATAGGTTAGATAAATACATGAGTGGGTGTGGGTGGGTGTGAGTTGAACCTGACTAGCTTGTGCTGCTGGGTCTGGTGCCGTGCTCCATCCCTGAGTGGAGGTGACCAGACTGGGTGGGTCATTGGGCTAATCCGGGGGGGGGAGGGACATGGACCTGCTCCGCATGGGTCAGTAGGCCTGTTGCAGTGTTCCTTCTTTCTTATGTTATTTGCATTAAAGCAAAAGAAGAATAAATCAGTGAATCAATATAGTTATCCCTCTTGTTGGAATTCCTCGTTAAGGTCATCAGCGGTAAAATAATGGAAACTTTAAACTTACAAACAAGTTCAATCAGGATATGGATGAAGAAGTTTTAGGAAAGTTCAACTAGAAATAGAAAAATTTACTATTTATGAAGCAAATTTGTGGGTAATAATACACATGGAAAATTAGACCAATAAAGCAATGACACCTTCGAATGTTCCAATGAATAAGACAAAAAAACTGAAGCAAAGTTTAAACAAATTGTGTTTATATATAAACTAGATAAATAAATTCACTCTGGGTGAGAGCATGATCTGTTTTTAAAACATTTATGCTAGAGATCCCCAAGTAAATCAAAAAAAAATAATATGATTTAAAATTTCTGTATTGCATTTGGAAGAGGAATTTGAGGGTTAAAAGTATGAAAAGGAAGAGTGATGTAGGTATCAACAGGATGCTTGAAATAAACTCAAATGCAGAACAATAATTTGATTAAGGAAAAGCATTTTTATCTGTGGGAAATACGATTCTCTCCATCAGCAGCACAAAAAAAACGGGGGTAAGAGCCTTTCCAAGGTTTTTCCATCATCCCACGGACAATGGCAGAGTTTGGGGGTCTCTTGTTGGGGTTGATGGGGAATATTGACCACCTCCACTATAACTTTTGAGATTAGAAAAGACCCGGAAAATCGGTGTCTTAACAAAGACTCTTAAGCCTGTAACAACGAAATCAGAGGATGTCGCGGGAAGGTCAATTCGAAGGGTCAAACAAGAATGTAAAGATGATGGAATGTAGCTTTCTTTTCAGATCTTTTCTTCATAGAATGCTCTTTCTCTATTTCAGATAGAAAATTTCCTATTTCAGTTCAAAACAACAAGCAGAAATGGGAATATAATAGGAAATATAAAGTACAAGTAGGTAGCATAAGAAGGTCGTTGTCACCTATAGAGACGAATGGTCGTACTGTACAGGATGATCAAAAGTGTTGGCAAGGATGGGAAGCGGATAACAAATCCTTTCCCGTCACGCGCTCACCTACGAAATTATGCATTTTATTGCAACCTCAACAGAACACATGACCATAACAAGGCACAGATCACTCTTTGATGTTCCCCGTGTCCATCTTACACAATGTAAAAACTCAATTCACATAAAAGGCCCAAATATCTGGAATTCATTACCTGTGAATATAAAGGAAATACTGTTTATCAATTCAAGACTTCTTAAAAATCACTT